CCTAAGTTCGTTGATTTTTATTCAGTCAAAACATTGGAACAGCAGCGATACAGCAACATAGTACTTATTGTTACTTCAATTCAGAAGAGAGGGCACCAAATCCAAAAAAAAATCTATATCACATTCCATCATGGCTTAAAATGGGGTTTTCCGTCAACCAACTGCCATCTGAATAAAAAGGGCACCCTCGAATGTTGAATTTATTTGAACTGATGTCTTACTTTTCAACATGCGAGTTCTACCACGTCTCGAAAGATATGCACTTCACAGCCATCATTCCGGAGTGGGCATCGACACCGCATTCACAAAAGTTGTCTATTCAACGAGTATAACATCCATTTTTCATAATTGTATCGGATAAATGAAAATTCGGTGACCACATAATCAATTTGCAACTGCTGGTGTTATGAAATCAACACAAATCAATCGGGACATCTGGAATTCCGTCTATTAAGCTATTGGATGGAGGTTTGTTGTTGAACAACCTTGAACTTGAGATACAACGAAAGGAATTCATGATCATGACTATTATTTTCCACAGGTAAGACAGATAATCACAAATTCTTGGCGCGGGACAAGGAGAATGTTGTTATTATATTGCCGCAATTCGTAGTGGAGCCTTTCATACATTTCTATTTTATAAACGGGGTTGAAGTTAGGTAAACCTAGTATGTAGTATATACAGTGTGTCAATTTGAAAACTTCCCACCCTCAATATCTCCCTTCCAGTACATAATATGAAAAAATGGTCAGACAGGCCAACTTTATTTGCAAGGGGGACACTCTGAATGAATATTTTCAACCCTCGGGGTTCAACCCCCTAGGAGGGGTGGATGTTACCCTCAGAATTTCAAATGGAAAGGGGGNTCTTAGAGGATGAATTATAACAATCCGATGTCACTAAAACCAACGATGTCTGTGTAAACACCATTTTCGTTGGATGTTATCAAACCGTTCAATAACGATATATCTCTTGGATTGGCGTTATAAAACTGTATATATTGAATTGTGAAATACAATTGTGCATACAAGATATGTCAATGAAACATTGTTTAACGATTGGTTTCGGTAAAAAAATTGTGACGTATTTTATAGGTGCAGTTTTTTCCTCTATAACGAGTTGTTTTCCAGAAAAAAAATCATACATTTTCAACGATATAAAAAACTAAAGGCTATTACAACGCATTGTCTAAAATCAGATTATCTCTGTAGAATCATAAAGACCTTCACTAACTTTGTTATAAAAACGAACAACAAACAAGAACAAGTCTTACCTACTTTCAAACAAAAAAACAATTGAAAGAATCATACAAGGTTTGATATCATTTATGAGGTAACAGGTTTTCTGTTTTCGAATTTCAATGGACAATAATAGACGACCTATTGAAACAAAACAATTCGGTGGAATCAAACCCTGGTAAAATAAATATTCTACAAAGTTTGCAAATTATCGTAGTTCTATACTCGTCTAGGAGCAGGGGAGCCCACGATGCAAAATGGGGATTTACTCGAGCGTCAAGCTTGCGGAAATCGTCAGATTATATATTTTTCGTTATCCTTGAATTATTTCCTTCAAAATGAATAAAAATTAGCTACGCTTGAGAATGTCGAAATGACGTTATTTTCTTACAACTTTGCTGCCCTCCCCTTTCTTTACGCCACTCTCAAATTGTCAGATTACTGGAATATACACTTTTTAGCAGGTAATCAACTCACCCTACCTTAATCTGACACGCTCGAGAATTTCTGATGATCAATTTTTTTAACTAATCTGATCCTTTATCTCTCACAGGCGGCCTTGTATATGGGGCTCATATTTGGTGGAGGTACTTAACCGGGTACAAGGTATAGACTAGGAAATGAAAATGAAGACGTGAATTTTTAATTTCACTTTGTAAAAGTGAATACCTACTAGTCTCTTACTAAAGCTTCTGATAAAGGAATAATCTACAAATACTTCAACATTTTCTTTCTTCTCTTAGATTTTTTTCATTTTTCACAGAACACATGACAAGCAGAAAACAAAAATAGGCATTTTCTTAACACTAATCTCATCAGAAAATACTTTTGAAGTAAATCATTTTCAAATCGCCATGATGACCAAATTTTGTAACGTGGTTAACGAACATTCAGTGATAGCATACTATATTTTTTGAAGTGCCATCGTCTACAATTCCGTAATGAATTTGTAATATTAAGCAGCTGTACAAATTTTATTCGTAGCAGGAAAAACCAACTCTCACACATTCACAACAATATTTTTAAAACTTCCACGAAACGAAAATCTCAGTTTTGAAAGTAACATTCTATGATTCATATTTCCACACGTTGAATCTTACGTTTCATAGTTGCAATTCCAAGAATTGTCTATGAATCAGAAATCGAATTACAAGATACGTTATAAAAATGACTAGTGTGGATTTATTTGAGTACACTCAGGAAAATATTTTAATATCACACATACCATTACCAGCGTATTACGCGTCTCATATACCAACAAACGCATTTTCTATTTATAGTGGCAACATTATCTAGGTAGGCATTGAGAGCCAGATAAGGACATTGAAAAAAATTGTATATATTCTTGCAATTCAACCTAGATATCTGTTCTTTACAGAAATTTTGTCGAAAGGAAATTTCATTCGCACATGCAATATATCTTGAAACTATGGAATTGGGTATTTGAATGGCTGGACACATTCAAGGTCCTCAGAGAATTGTGAAAGGCTCTGAAATAATTGTGACAGGAATTAATATGCTCGACAAACAATAAAATTTCGTCGACCCGCTAATAGTTTTGTCATATAAATGGATAGGTCTGTTTTGGAACATGGGAATGTTTTCTATCATTGTTTCACGAAATGTTGGGGCAATAAAGGCGAAATATCAAGTAAAAGTTCACCTTCATTTACTTTGTCAACTCCTACACTCTTTGTTTCGAATAAAACTGCTAGTATACGAGGTCTGGCTGTTAAATAACGAACCTGCGCGTCTAGAGAGGTGAAAAAAACGAGTAGTGCGTTGGGTATTTGGAGATCTTCCCTATTCACGTACCAAAACACATTTTTTGTCACTATTGTAGTACTTGTGCAGTAGCGGTTTGAAACGAACGTGTTATTTTCTCGTACCGAAAACCATGTGTGACGAATCTCGTGCGCGTGTTTTTGAGTGGCAGAGAGAGCAAGGATGTCCAAATCAAAAGACAAGGCAATGCTGATAATTTTTTTTTTACATTAACGGTATCGTGATGACTGAATGGGTTCCAGAGGGTCAGATTGTCAACCAGACTAACTATTCGTCAGTTTTGGCAACACTGCGAGAACGACCCGAATTGTGGAATAACAACTCGTGGATTTTGCAGCAGAACAACGCAGCTGCCCATAATGTGCTATCTGTGAAGAGGTATTTTGCCGATAAACGCACTCCAGTGCTCGAACAAGCGCCGTACTCGCCAGATTTGGCACCGTGCGACTTTTTTTCCGAAGATGAAATCTGCTTTGAAAGGGACCCGGTAAGCGGTAAAGCAAAAAACGGCAGAGCTCCTGAAGGCACTCATCAAAAAAGACTTCCAGCACTGCTTCAGCATATCGTTGAAAGGTCCTTCAGATTAGGTATATATGATTCGAACTTTTCAAACCATTCCTTGGAACGCAACCCGAATCTAAACGATATGGAAATTTTGCACTATGCAGGCAAGGGTTGGAAACTCGATTGGCAGGAATAATAAATAGTAGAATTCATAAACATAAGAATAGCGGATATTATCTACTGAATGACCAAATTTACCTGCTATACTCGCCGGTTTTCAGCCTACCCACATTGTCACCGTTAAAAACATCCAGGTAATGAAGTCATTAAGGGCTGTCTGTTTTTACCTACTGTAGTTGTGCAGGTATATACATGTCCTTGTAGGACGAAAGTGCAGTAACGATAGTTACAATTACATGTGATATAAAAACATAGGAAGTAGTTTCAATTCTCATTTCTCATGATGATTTTCTACCACATAGTAACAGCTACATCCATCAATCTATTATTGAATGTACCTAACCAAAGGCATATAGACCCAGTGTTTGATGGGCTAGTTTATTATTGAAAAGCGTCTAATTTATTAAAAAATGAATATACTGGAGAAAAGAAGAAACATTTGAGTTTCAAATTAACATTTATATTTTCTAACCAATGCCCCAACCTTAGTAATGTTGAGTTTGATGCTGATAAAATCAGTGACCTCCATAAAATAATATACTTTGGCACCATACATATGGTAGACCGATATTAATATTATTATGTGTAACGTTAATATTTTCTTTGCTGGATCACAGCTTTCTCCCAGTATCCAGAAATACTCCTAAACAGGATCATCATGAAAGTACAATGTAGAGAAAATGAAACAAACCACTTGATTAAAAGCCACAGTAGGCATGAAAACTTGAAATTTGGGTAAATTTTCGTTATGTGGACACCCATGAATAAATGCTTGTGTTTTTAAATAGTTTATTTAGTGAAAAAGAAGGCTGTTAGTTGCCCTTTTCTGAACTTTGAAGGGCCGTAACTTTTTGAATAAGGGAGAGCGCCGCTTTTTTCTTTCGGATTCGTAATCTACGCATCAAAATACGTAAGTACAGTCAAAAATTTTTTCAAAATCGCCGGGTGTCCACATAACGAAAATTTACCGAAATTTGTTATGAATCGTAGGCCAGTTGAATAGTATATAAATCGATGGGAATGAGATCCTAGCAACATGCTGGATACACAAAAAGCAATGCTTGAATGAGTATTATCGTTTTCTGTAACCGTTACTCAGTTTAACGAAAATATTTCCCAACCAGCATATAGAAATATACAGCTGGTACCTAGTTGCACAACATCTACCTACCTAGTTTATAAATTCTAGTCAGGTAGGTATTCGTATAACCCATATCTACCTACCCATATGAGAGAATGTTTCTCGGAAACCAAACCGAAAACCTCCGCTCGAAAATAAAAAAGGTGCTTACTTTTTTCGTTTTATTTCAGTCTCCATTTTCACGGGCATTTTTTCTCCTTTGTCCAGCAGCGATACCTCCAGATGAGCGGAAAAACTGTTGAATTTCAAAAATGCACCAACCGTCACTAACCGCACTCGAAAGAATCATACGAGGTGCCCGCAATACGTACTTCAATTGGTACGGAAACGTCAAAAAACGAACAAAACACATACACACGAAAAACAAACGGTTGACATTTGGCGCCAAATGTTTCTTTGTTTGCGGCACGTGCACCACCAACTTTATCGTCGCGTAGTTTTAACGTTCACAGCCGACTGACTACCTCGAGTCGAAACTTTCGACTGCGGTGACGGCGATGTGTGTAGTGGAAACAGTCGACGGTTTGACTCCACACTCTCGGTTCAGCGGAATTGAATACGAGGGTCGTACGATATTTCGCATAATTAATCGAAGCATGTGAATGTTTGTTTCCGGTATCGAACTAAACTGGAAAAAGTATAGGCAAATAAGAGAAAAAGGGGCGGAAGATTAATGGGAACGTAATTACAAATAGTTTTTCTCAAAATCTTACCGTTTACTTCGACAGCGGGGACTCTTGCACCAACATCTGTTATGCGGAATCCAATATCCGTCGCGGGAATCACCTCGGGAGTTTTTTGGAGGAAACTTCACGAAACCTACCCTGTAGGGAAGATGTTAGATACAATGGTTTTTATATTCATAAAAGCCATGAACTCCTCTAAATATGCCTTCATTACAAAAATTTAACAATAATTGCACATTAATTTGGTTTTTTTTCACAAATTTGTTCATAAACAACCATCGCGCTAAACTTATCGTCTCATATGACATATTTACCTATAATCGACTCGAAAATTGAAAAATAATCTATCAAATCATCACTAAACAAAAAAAAATATTGACAATAACGCCTTCAAATGTGGAATCATTTTTAAAGGGGCAGATCAGAAGGTGATGAAATTGATGAAAAAGTTTGGATAATGATCAAAAAATTGAGAAATGAATGTGTCACACCTGTACAATGAATAACATTGTAATTTCGTGATCATGAGGAAACTTTATTTGAAATTTGACGACTTCAGCAATTCCTGTTTCGATAGAAATGAAAACTAACGTCATAATTATAGTGATAATAATGTGAATCGCATCATCTGTGAAATTCAACTTATTTTGTCCAGAATAACTCCGAAAGTGGGATTAGATCCGAAAATATCCAAAAGAATATTGTAAAACCCATCCACTTGCTTTTGTCACTATATAATGTAACTTCATAAAATATACATTTTTGAAAAGGTCATTCAACACATGAGCTGAAGAGTCCCGGGCTTGAAAAAAAAAATGCGTTATTTTTGTTCAAAATTGACTCTATTCATCACCGTAATCTCCATCAAAAGCGACACAATCATCAGCGGCTCTCTAACATTTAAATAGCACTTTTGTAAAACGATTTATCTTTTGCCCCAAAACACTTTTAGCAATAACCTCTTCATTCGAGCAAAATTTGTAACCGGTGAGAAATTTTTGAGACCTGCAAACAGCCAGTAGTCGCTGGGAGCTAAATCTGGCGAATACGGTGGATGTCGGAGCATCCACCGTATTCGGATGCGGTCGTTTTTTTGCCATTTCGGCTTTTAAACGCCCCAATAACGCTATATAATATTCACTGTTGATGATATTTCCCTTCTCAATACTGAGACCATAACCTTTCCAGCCGATTGTTGGGTTTTCGGACGCTTTGGACGAGGTTAACCAATTGCTCTCCACTCAGATGACGATCGTTTTGATTCCGGAGTGAAGTGATAGATCCAGGTTTCATCTATTGTCACATATGGACCAAAAATTCCGGTTTGTTTTGTTTAAACATGGCCAAACACTGCTCAGAATCATCAAGACGTTCTTGCTTTTGGTCAACAGTGAGCTCGCGCGGCACCCACTTTGAACAGAGCTTTATTATAGTCAAATGTTCATGCAATATAAAGCCAACTCGTTCTTTTGATAACCATACAATGTTAGTTAATTCACGCAACTTCACTTGTCAATCATTCAAAACGATTTTGTGGATTTTTTTTTGTTTTCTGGTGTTAACTGCCTCATTTGGAAGTCCACTGCGTTCTGCATCATCCGTGTCTCTACGACCACGTTTGAAGTCAACAAATCAAATTGTTGTTCTGATGGGGCGGAATCCTTACAACACTTTTCGATATTTTTCCCATCAAGATGCAGTGTAAAATTGAAAAACGAAATTGTTTTTGATCCATTGTTTTGAAAATAACAAAAGTTGGGACACTTTTAGCACAATAACACACAAAAATATGAGTAGAATTTCGTAGAATTTCATGAAATTTCAACAGCTCTCTTCTGAAGATTATTATTAACTGAAAAAGTGGTGAATCCATGAAGACTAGTGGCATCTATGTGTTAGGTCCGATACTTTTCAGCCCAGGTAGTATTTCTGACTAATAAATTCTTATATTGAGAAAATATTTCATCGTCCTCTTTATAATATGATAACCAATTTTGTTATTTGAATGTTGAATCAAAGCAATTCCAGAAGTTCAAATTTATAGTTGATTTATGTACGAATGCGCAATGAAATTACGTCGCTGCAGGTAACACATCATCCTATTCACGCAAAGACCCTCGTAAAATAAATGAATGAATGGATATTAGCTTTCATTGTCTTCGGCAATAATGAAACTCAGGAAATATTGCTCTTACTTTCAGTTGCAACTTAAGTAATATAAAGGATATGATTCCAAAAATATACATTCACCGATGAAAAAAAAACCATTACAACAGAAATGTGGAAACTACATATAAATAGAGCAATTAAGCGGTGCTTAGAAAAAATTAGTTTGAAATGAGGTTTTCATTGAATAAATCGAAAGAGAAATTTTAGCAAGTTATGTTCCTATGATAAAAACATTTCATTTGAAATAACTGGAATTTAGTAAAGATGGAAGGTACTTATCAAGTAAGTGTCGAACGAAAACTATAAATGTGCGAACGAAGACTCAATAACAACAATGGATGGAGATATTCACGACATCTCAGAAACATTCAGATGAAGAAGTACGGCGAGGTAACCCTGTACATGTCTAGAAATCCACAGACTTGACATGAAACAAGTACAAAAGAGTGGGAAATTCAAAATTTAAAATTTGTGTACCATATTTATTAATTTTCATAAAACAGACAAACNGACACTTATTCTATTGAATAAAATGTATAATTGATAAATGTATATGTTTATATACTGCTTGTTTATATAACAATTTTATTTTTATTCTATTTTATTTATATTTTACATAATTGTGTGTATTTTGCCTAAATTTTTTTTCTGTACGTGTATATTCTACTTTGTCAACAAAACAAGAGTTTTTTCGACAATAAAGTATATTTTGATTGATTGATTGATTGATTGTGTCCTCTAACTAAGAAGGCCTGGCTGGTCGGCCATGTGGGTACATTATATTGGATTTCTAGATTTGTTCACCTGTCAATACAATTACTTTAGAAGTTCTAACGACGACAGCACCAAAAAAAAAGCGAACGTTGAAACACCATATTATCATCAACGGGGGTTTACTAATTACAAACCTAAACGATCACAGAAACAGAAATTCACCCCCTCCACCTTGCAGGCGGCCAACGCCCAATCTTCCGTCGGCGTCGCGATTTCAGGAACAATACGATTGAAAAATACGCGGTGCAACTTGCTGAAAGCTTCATTTGGTATGTAGGTAACTCCAATGACACAATGCAATTTGAATAATAACTCTATTATTCGCAATTAAATAACTCATTCATATTATAGAGAAATAACCGTCGTCTGGCTTTCCATTATAATTCATAAATGCGTCACACTCCCAGAACGATAATACGCAACTGGATAAACAGGTATTTTGTTAAACGAATTTAAACGGTTTATTAGGTGATGAAAATCCCCTGAATTGGTTCAAATATAACTGTTAGAAGAAAAGACGTCAATATTTTGTCGGCAGGAAGAAGGTGAGCCCACGAATAACTAGAAAAGTAAAGTAAAGTAAAAGTAAAAAAGTTGCTGAGGTATGTATAGTTTTCTGGTTCGGAACAGTTTTCCAAGCTTTTGAGAAGCAGCCTTTGCAATTCCAGCCTTTGGAATTCCAAGACATATTGCTGTCCATTTTAACCCCCAACAAACCTATCGAAGAAAAAAGTCGATTCTTCACGACAATATAGGATATTCAGGACAGTGGTTGGAAACCGATATGCCCCCCAGACACTACCAGAAGGCGAAAAACCCACAAAAAAATACCATGGTTACTGTACGGTGTCCAGCGGCTGGTGTGATTCACTAGAACTATCTGCAACTGGGCCAAACCATCCTATAGTGAGGAAATCGACGAAATGTACCGAATAGTGCGTCTGTAGCAGCACTGGTCAACAGTATAAGTAAGATCCTGCTTCATGACAACACCCGTCCGCACGTTTCACAAATCACCGCCCGAAAATTAAATGAATTGAGCGTCGAAATTCCGCCCAACCCACCATACTTCCAAGACCTCTAGCCTCTAGTGTTCATCTCGAACACTTCGATAACTTTATCACCGGTAGAACTTTCGCCAATTAGAACCAGGTAAAAACGGCCGTCGTCGATTTCATCGAATCCCGAGCATGCAATTCTAATGCTGACGAAATTAATCGACCTGTGTACGTAGGCAAACGTGCAGTGATTCAAATGATGCTCCTTTCGATTAAATTGATCAATTACTCACTGAGCTATACGAAACAACCTATTATAACTTTTTATTCATTGTTTATCTCGCAAACTGGCGTCAATTCCACTAATGAGTGTTACAAACGTACAGAAAAGCTAGCATCGAATTCAATACTGATTTATTCCCAGAAAAAAATGTTTATTTCAGATGTATCCAGTCTCACCTTCTACCCTATCAGTATTCAAAGAGACTAATCATCATCACTTTTTATTATTATCAGTATACTAAGTCATAAAAGTATTTTTGTCAGCAGGTAATCCCAGCACGTTCTGTCTTTTGAAGTATTAGTGCGTTAATACATTCTTTGCTAGAATTCTATATTCATCTACTATATTGTGTAGCATTCCTGTGAATGATGTCTGATTCAATTCCAAAACGAATGTTTGGAGTACAAACTGAATAGGAACGAGTGTGTTTTGTAGAATTCGATGTTCACATTTAATAAAGTAGTTGTTCCGGAGGGCTTTTTCTTTTAGTGTATGTCTATAAGTAACTTTTATGAATTATCTAAACACCTCTGTAAATAGTTTATTTCAAATTAATTGCGT